GACTGAGAAATAGTCTGGGTCGAATTGGATCTTGATTTTGACTGGGAAATAATCTGGGTCAAATTTTTGTCGTATTKGGAAATAATTGGGGTCAGATCAAACATCAATTTCGTCAGACTGAGAAATAGTCTGGGTCTAATTGGATCTTGATTTTGTCGGACTGGGAAATAATCTGGGTCAAATTATTGGCGTATTGGAATATAATCTGGGTCAGATCAAACATCAATTTCGTCGGACTGGGAAATAATCTGGGTCAAATTTTTGTCGTATTGGGAAATAATCGGGGTCAGATCAAACATCAATTTTGTTGGACCGAGAAATAGTCTGGGTCAGATTAGACATCAATTTCGTCGGACCGAGAAATAATCTGGGTCAAATCTTCGTCGTATTGGGAAATTATCTGGGTCAGATCGAACATCGATTTTGTCGGACCCAGGAAATACATGGGTGGACTCCATGTTGGACCAGGAACTGAACTGGGTGGAATCAAGAATCAATTTTGTCGGGCCAGGAGACAATACAGGGAGAATCTAGATGCAATCAGAATAGAATAATGCAATCAGAATAGAATATGCAACGTTGATGGTGTAATTTAGTGTAAAATCGAACATCAGAATTTTGGCGACAAAATAGAATCAGATTCCAATTCAACCCCAATGAACTTCGAACTTGCAAAAAAAAAAATTGAATCGAACCTGGATTGAACAGGAATCATGATTCACTAATTATAATTTTTGACAACATAATTTTTCTTGGGCTGTGCCTGGAACGGTAGTACCACCTTCTTTGTACAAACCAAACAAAACCCACAGAAGTAAGGGTTAAAAAATATGGCGCTGCAAGGCTGGCTTGCGGGTTTACACCAATTGGAGAGTAGGGTAGACAGGGTGGGCAGCAAAAATGCAGGTGTTAGAACCACAAACGATTTAATTTCCAGAAAACCACACAAAATACTGTGCACGGTTCAGCTACTTGCTTCGATTAGACACAATGAGACCAAGAYGASCAACACACCCAACCGCAGGAAAACACAAAAGGTCAACGAGACTGAAAGAAACTGGATTTGATACAGATTCAACAAAGGTAAATAACGAAAAACTGAAAAAAATGCATAATGATGATAATGACAACACCGTCACAATTGCAACACTCATGAGACAAAACAAAGAACTAAAAAGGTAGTTGGAGGAAAAGGAGAACGACAAGATCACCTTGTTATCGAAGAAGGTAAAGACTGCGCACAGTGCGGCAGGAGGTTCGATTATTGTAGCGGTGGTTCCTGGGGAAAAGGTATCGAAATTGAACAAGAAGCTACTCGCAAGAAATTTTCAAGGGTATATTGAATCAAATGTTTTCAAAGACATRAAATTCGTGATAAGTGACAAGATCAACAAACACATTTGTCSACAGGCCATTGCAGATGGTGGTGTTAGCATGTGTGGAGAATTTAGTGGGGAGGACGAATTTTGTCTATACTTAGAGAATACCCTGTTGCCACAGGTGCTAAACAAAATACGACACAACACTCAGAGTTATGCACGAAGAAAATGGCTAGGTACGTATCRTTGACCACCGACAAACATGCTTCCCTTATAACAGTCTAACCATTGAYVTGTKAATATTCCCTCCTTCCTTCACAACAGATGACAGTGAAAATGGAAACGTGCCAGATGAATTTCCAGGAACACTGGAAATTGCGGATTGGGACATGAGGGATGCGAAGAGGAAGGTTCTACATCCACAGTACAGGGCATACAGTGATGCCAACAATTCGGAGTTTTATTACTTTGTTACAAGAATATTGTCATCCGTCAATGCTAGGAACAATGATTTCAACGGGAATAAGAGAGGGACTGAAAATTTGTTG